TCTCGTGTCCGGCGGTTCCGTCTGGCTCACTGTTGCGGAGATAACTACTACAACGGGAGCTAGACTACGGGCTAGGCACGGATGCTCGTGTGATCTCTGCGTTCGTTGGTCCTTAGTCGTTTTCCCAGTGCTCACACTGCTTGCTAGTTCACGGGGCAATTTGGCAAGAGTTTCACTAGAGAAAGTTGACAGTAATGGTACAATGAAGTTGGCATGGCAAGACTACATCAGAGCTAGCATTCAGGTCGGTCGACTGCCAGCGCAGCATAGTCGACCACGTTCCAGCACGACTTGGTCGACCGCGCTCCAGCAGTGCAAAGTCGACGGCGTGCCAACGTCGCAGGTTGACGGCGTGCCAGTGCTGCTCACGCTGAACAGCAGCGCACCCGCTTCGCAGGTGCTTGCAGATGATTGGCGGGCTGAGCCTCGTCACCTGCACAACGCACACACCAAGTCAACCTGGCGCTGATGACTGTTTCTGATCAGCCACGTCGACCTCGGGATACCACCACCGAGGTCGGGCTCGCCAACTTCGCCTGGGCGACTGTCGCACTCCTCCGCAGAACCTCGTCACCCAGGTAACCTGGTCGACCGGGCAACCACGTCGACCAGCTGCTCCCGTACGTGCCCGTCGACCTCCCAAGTCGACGGCCACCTCCAAGTCGACCTCACCAGGTCCCTTGGTCGACCAGCTCCAGGTCGACATCACTTCTGGTCGACCAGCTCCACGTCGACCAGCAGTCCTGGTCGACCAGCTTCATGTCGACCAGCGCAGTTGTCGGCCGACCACCAGTCGGCTACCCGAAGTCGGCGTCACGAAGTTGACGCCCAGCTACTCGACGCCCAACTGCTCGGCGTCCTGAGTCGAGGTCGACGTCGGCCCCTCCTTCGTCGACCACCAGGTCAGGTCGACCGCCAGCAGGTCGACCAGCAGGCCTGGTCGACCAACCACCAGGTCGACCAGCAGTCCGTCAGCCGACCACCGAAGTCGGCTTCCCCAAGTTGATGTCACCAAGTTGACGTCCTCCGCAGGTCGACTCCCCAAGTTGACCTCCCTGAAGTCGGCGTCCGTACAGTGGTCTCCGTGCAGGTCGACCTCCCCGTCAACCAGCTCGCCCACTGCTGCAGGCCGGCTGCTCCCCTCACAACCGACCACGAAGTCGGCTCTGCCCAAGCGAGGACGGGGCCAACACGCAACTCCCGTTGACACTCCCCTGCCGCGTTCACGCTTGGGCCTCCAGCCCACACGGCAGTACTCCTCGGAGAATAGCTCGTCGACGTGCACCCAACACACAGCACGTCGTCTACCGCACCAGCCATGCAAGAGGGCATGGCACCTACTGCTGCACGTCGTCATCTTCGTCGCCCACGTCGGCCAAGCGCACCTGGCCGATGGCGACGGAGCACCGGTTGAAGGCCGGATAATGCAGCGCCTTCGTCAGGAAGTCGGCCGGCTGCTCGGTGGTCGGGATGTACCACAGCGAGAACTTCCCGCGCCTCACCATGTGCTGCAGCTAGGCTTGTCGCCGCTCCATATGCTTGAGGTTGCCCGTGAACCCCATGCCCTCAGCGACTGTGATGGCCGACTTGTTGTCCACCCGAAGGACGGTCGGCTTCCCAGCATCCAGCTGCTGGAACTCTGCGAGGAGGAAGCGAAGTCGGCGTCCCTCCTTGCCGGCTTCGGTGGCCGCCACGTAGTCCGACTCGGTCGACGACAACGTCGCGCACTTGATGCGCTGGCTCGACCAGGAGACTGCGGCCCCTCCGTAGACGAACACGTAGCCGCCCGTGCTCGTCCTGTTTTGCTCGTCACCGGCGTCGTCGGCGTCCACGTAGCCGACCAGCTCCAGCGACTCAGGTCCACCGCCGAACTCCAGGGCGGTGTCACGCGTGTTGGCGAGGTAGGCGAGGCAGCGATCGGCCTCGCGCCAGTGCTGGTCGCTCCTCACCGTGAGGCCGCTCCCCAGCTTGCTGCAGGCAAAGGCGATGTCCGGCCTCGTCGTCGTCGCCGTGAACTGCAGCGAGCCGACCTTCTGCCGGTACTCCTCCTCTTGTCGCTTCTGTGCCTCCTCGTCGTCGAAGGTGAGCTCGGCGTAGGCGTCGACCAAGACCGGCGTCTTTGGGGTGCGCCCGGTCTACTCCTCGTCGATGAAGCGCCTACGCAGCTTGTCGGCGTAGCCCTGCTGGTGCAGCCACAGCTTCCCCGCCGACCTGTCGCGGACGATATCCAGCCCAAGGTACTTCTGCACCGGCGAGATCTCACGCAGCGCAAAGGCGGACTCCAGCAGCTCCTTCAGCATCTCGGTGCTGCTGCTGGCGGTGAGCAGGTCGTCGACGTAGACCAGCACCCAGCAGGCCACTCCGTCCTTGCCGACCTTGAAGTAGAGAGCCTCATCGACCTGGCTCTTCTTCCACCCGGCGTCGACCAGCACGTCGTTGAGCGCCAAGTACCACAGCAGCGGCGACTGCTTCAGCCCGTACAGGCTCTTCAGCAGCTTGCACACCCGGCCGGTTCCGTCGTTGAAGTAGTCCGGCTGAGACATGTAGAGCACCCGGTCGAGCTTGCTCTGCAGGAAGGCGTTCTTCATGTCGAGCTGCATCAGGTTGAGGTTGAGGACGGCGACGATGCTAAGGAAGATCCTCAGGGTGACGTAGCTGCCCACCGGCGCGAACGTCTCGTCGTAGTCGGCGCCATACACCTGGGTGAAGCCCTTCACGACCAGCCTCGCCTTCTCGCGCTCGACGGTGTCGTCGACGTGGTACTTCGTCGTCAACACCCACCGGTTCTTCATGATGTTGACCCCCGGCAGGCGTTCGACCAGCTCCCAAGTGCCTGTCGCGATATATATTTATATATGTTTATAACTGCCTGTAGCTTTAGCTTTAGTGTAGTTATGTTTCTTTGTTGTGGTGGTGCACCTCTTTGTTTCTTTGCTATATGTTCTTGCAAACCTATCGTGAAGACACACATTCTCGATTCTCTCTTGGCACAACTCCCTCGACACCCGCTTGGCCTAGGCTACTAAGCCTAGGCCCTTAGTTAAACCCGTTCCTAGCTAAGTTCGTCTCGTGACAGTGCCCATGTTGATGAGGCTGCGGATCTCCTCCTCCATGGCGGCCTTCACCGCCGGGCCCTTCCAGCCCGCCAACGCCTCCTTCACCGTCATCGTCGAGATGTCCCAACGGTGTTCAGGGTCGGCATGCATGTCGGGGTCGAGCTCCGGAAACTCCTCATCCTCCTCGGCGTCGTCGTACAGCAGGTCGTCGTCGTCATCCTCCACGTTGTACACCGTGGTGAAGGCAGCAGGGACGAAGAAGTCCGGCGGCCTCCGAACTTTGTCCGACTTCCGGGGTTCCGACCGAACCTCCACCACGTCACTCTTGGTGGACTCCCCGGCGTCAACGTCTTCACTGCCCTCGTCGTCCTGCTGCACCTCAGTCGACTTCCTGGTCGACCTCTCCCCTGTGGTCGGCTCCCCTGCCGGCTGCCCGGTTGCCGACTTCTCCGTGGTCGGCTTCATTGCTGCCTGCTCCCCTGTCGGCTGCATCTCCTCGACCTGCTCCTCCCCTGTCAACGTCGGCTTCAATCCCATGTCGACTTGCCGCTCGTCACGTCGGCCACCGGCGATGCCCTTGGCCGGCGCCAAAGGCGGCGTCCCACTGCTCCCCTCATCGCCGGAGGCCGACACCGAGGTCAGCCCGCGCAGGTCGGCCAGGAGCGGAGGGGCAGGGGTCGTAGAGGGAGGGGTAGGAGGGTGGACGTCCTCGACGTCCTTAGCAGCAAGCTCACCAACCTCGACGAGCAGAGGCAGCGTCGCCGACGAGGTGTCGGTTGGCGGGGTGGACAGCGTGCGGCCGGACACCGGCACGTGCTCCGACTTCCACTCGGCCAGCGACATCTCCTCGTAGAACACCACGTCCGACGTGGTGACCACCCGGTTGACGTCGACGTCGAGGAGCTCCCAGCCCTTGCTCGCCGCCGACACGCCAAGGTGAAGGCCCCACCTGGCCTTCAGCTTCAACTTCCCACCACGCTGCTGCTCGGGGACGAGGAACTGCGCCATGCAGCCCCACACCCGCGCCAGCGACAAGTCGGGCTTCTGTCCGGTGAGCAGCTGGTACGGCGTTGTCCCCGGCAGCAGCGTCGACCTCTCAAGGCAGTTGCGGACCCAGACGGCCTGCCGTAGAGCGAGGTGCCACCAGTGATGCTGCACGCCCATGTGCAGGAGCATCGTCCGCACCGACTCCACCACCGTCCTCATCTCCCGCTCCGCCATGCCGTTCTGCTGCGGGGTGTACGGGCAGGTAAGGTCGTGGACGATCCCCTGTCCATCCACGAAGTCGGTGAACTTCTTCCCGAGGAACTCCCCTCCTCGGTCGGAGCGAAGCATCAGCACCGACTTCTGCGTCTGCCTTTCCACCAACACCAGCCACTTCTGGAACTCCAGCAGCACATCCGACTTCTTGGCGACCGTCCTCACCCACACGAAGCGGGTCTTGCGGTCCTCCGGCAGCATGAAGTACAGGCTGCCGTCCTTGGCAGCCACGCGGAACGGCCCGCATAGGTCGATGTGCACGACGGCCAGCACGTCGTCGGCGTCGGAGCCTTGGTCGGGGAAGGTGTGCTGCGTCAGCTTCCCGCCGACGCACGAGACACACGGGGAGTCGGTGCCCGCCGCCGACTTGAGGTCCAGCCCAAAGGCGACCTCGTTCTTCGCCGAGCTCCTGATGGTGTCCATGCCGACGTGTGCAAGCCTCGCGTGCATCCTGTCCGGCGTCGACTTCGTCTTCGAGACGAGGAAAAACGTGATAATGAAGTTAAAAAAAAGTAGACATTTCTAATTGTCCTAATTTGCTTTGTTTAGATTTGGCTGATTGTTTTGTGTTTGCAGAAAAAAGCGCCCCCGCTTTTAGGTTGAAAAAATTGCCAAAGCTTAAATTATTCAGTTTAAAAAAATATTCTTCTAGAAAAAACAACGAAAAAAAATGATTTATCTGAATTAGGCAGCAAAGACCTTAATTCTTTTTTTCTTTCTTCTTCCGAAATTCAAGATTTGCGCCCACAGGGCCACAACCTCCGGCGTGGGCGACGTCGACCTCGTGGGGCAGGGACGCAGGTCGGTGTAGAGGACCCGCCCGGAGTACGTCGCCCGGCCGAGCACCTCCCCGGCCGCCGAGACGAGCAGCATTCCGTCTCCGTCCTCTTGCAGCTTCACGCCGTGCTCCTTCAGCTGGCCGGACGACAGCGGGTTGGCTCGCACACCCGGGACGTACAACACGTCGGGGATGAGCACCTGCTTCCCGGCCTCTCCTTGCAGAGCGACGGTGCCGCGGCCCTGGACGTCCTGCAGCGCCCCATTGAAGCCCCGCACGTGCTTGATGGAGCCGCTCGGCTGCAGGTCGACGAAGACTTCCTTCGTCCCCATCAGGTGATGGGAGCAGCCGCTGTCGAGCAGGACCACCGCCGGGTTCGCCTGCACAGCTGCCGCTATTGCCTGGAAGTCCTCTTCGGCCTCCGGCGCCAGCGAGACGGTCGGCTCCGCGACGCCGACCAGCGAGCACGACGCCGTCTTGTCGTCCCGCGTCTTGCCGCCTGCAGAAGAGTCGGCGTCCTTCGCCGAAGTCGACGTCTTGGTCGACTGCTTCTCCTTGCGCGGCTGGTTTCCTCCACGACGAGGACGACGGCTGCCAGACCTCCCACGGCCTCCCTTAGCGTCGTCGTCGTCGGAGTCACTGCGGTTGGGGCACTCGAAGGAGAGATGGTCGGGGTCGCCGCACAGCCAGCACTCCCGACGTCGACCTCCTCCTCCCCGACCGCTGTCCTTGGTCGACTTCTTCTTGTCGACCTCCTTGGCCGGCTTCCAGCCACTGCTACCACCACCGCCAGACTATCCGCGCTGCCCCGGTCGGCCTCCTTGCTTTGCTGGGGCGACGAAGTTCGACTGCGCCAAGAGCTCCTGGGACCGCTCAGCCTCCTGCATTGCCTCGTCCTGCAGGATGTATGAGGTCAAGTTGTCCTCGTTGAGCGTCACCCTCGTGCTCGGCGCCATTAACAGCCGCTTCAGGAGGTTGTAGCTGCTCGAGAGACCCTGCATGACGTGGGTGACGTACGACGCCGTCGAGTACTGCGCGCCTGCCATCCTGATGGTGGCGAGAATTCGCCGGGCCCGGTTGCAGTAGTCGGTCGCCGTCTCCTCATCGCCCATACGCAGGTGCGTCAGCTGTCCCTCCAACTGGGCGATGAACAAGTCGTCGGTGACTTGGTAGGTCGACTCAATGAAGTGCCACGCCTGGTGGCCGGCGTCGAGGTACTCCCGGCACCACTTCAAGGCAATCTGTTCGCCCGGCGAGCAGCACCGCGAGATGACCGTGAAGGTCAACAGCTGCACGGCGCGGAACTCCGCGCGCAGGTCGGGGTCATCCGGCGTCGCCACGGTGCCACGGGCAAAGCTGATCAGCCCGGCCATCTCCAGCTGAGGCTCGATGGCCTCCTTCCAGGTGAGGATGTCGGGTCGACCAATGAGTGGCGGGGTGACCAAGATCCTGTCCGGCGTGAACTTGAAGTAGCTGTAGCTCGGTGCTATCCCGCCCGCCGTCACCTTGGTCGCCGACATCGGCGACAACCCGCTTCGACGTCCTCTGACGCCGCCCTGCGAGGAGCCTGCAGCCGCCGACGACTGCACCCCTCGCTCCTGAACGCCGCCGACTTCATCGGCGTGAATCACACCTCTCTGCCTGGACGTGCCTCCCGCACTGCTGCCGACTTGGCCACCTCTGGCGTTGACGCCCACGTCGACACTGCCTTCGTTGGTCACCGGTCGAGGAGAAGCCGGTCGAGAAGGGGGATGCTCCGTCGCCCACATGGTACGGAGTCCAGCCTCGACGACCGCCCAGGGTATCACCCCGTACTCCTGGGCCTCATTGTCAAACATTATATATGTTGTGTTAGTTTAGGCTACAGTGGGTTAGCCTATAGGGGGTACACAATTCTAGGGTTAGGTACTTGTACTTTTTTCATTGCTAGTTCATTCATTTTTCCTGTTCACTAATTCCAACATGGTATAGAGCAGGTCCTTCCTAGGACCGATATTTTCTAAGGGCCCACCACTACGTAACTACCTACCTACCTACCTACCCGTGCCCTAGGGCGCCTCGGCGTGTCACGCCCCTAGAGGCCCCTCTTGACGGCCCCGCGCTAGCCCCGTTCAGGCCCCGTCGGCCCCTTTAAGGCCCCGTTCAGGCCCCGCGCTAGCCCCGTTTAGGCCCCGTCGGCCCCGTCGACCCGCGCTAGCCCCGTTTCAGGCCCCGTCGGCCCCTTTTCAGGCCCCGTCGGCCCCGCGCTAGCCCCTCTCAGGCCCCGTCGGCCCGCGCTAGCCCCGTTTCAGGCCCCGTCGGCCCCGTTTCAGGCCCCGTCGGCCCCGCGCTAGCCCCTCTCAGGCCCCGTCGGCCCGCGCTAGCCCCGTTTCAGGCCCCGTCGGCCCGCGCTAGCCCCGTCTCAGGCCCAGTAGGCCCCGCGCTAGCCCCTCTCAGGCCCCGTCGGCCCCGCGCTAGCCCCATTCAGGCCCCGATCGGGCCCGCGCTAGCCCCGTTTCAGGCCCCTTCGGCCCCGTTTCAGGCCCCGTCGGCCCCGCGCTAGCCCCGTTCAGGCCTCGTCGGCCCCTTGCTAGCCCCGTCAAGGCCCCGTTTGGCCCCGCGCTAGCCCCGCTCAGGCCCCGATCGGCCCCGCGCTCGCCCCTCTCGGGCCCCAACCGGCCCCGTGCCTACCTCGCCGACCCGTGCCCACCACCCAGAGGCCCCGGGCGGCCCGTTCCCGCCGCAGCACAAGAGGGAGAGCGGGCGGCCCGTCCCCGCCGTGACCTGAGCCAAGCCGCGCGCCCCGAGCCGAGCCGCGCCACCCAGCCGAGCCGCGACCCGACCTGAACCGAGCCGCGCCGCCCTGCCCTACCTGGTTCGTCCTACCTGCTTCTCCTACCGCTACTGCTGCTATTTCTACTGTTCCTATGGCTAGCCCACAGGTTCTCGTGTTCGATGCTGAGGGCCGCCCTGTGAAGTTTGACACCTGGCTCGATGACCTGCACCTCTACCTACAGCTCACAGCCAAGGATGACATCTCACTGTACGATCACGCCCTAGGCCTTGTCACTGCCCCTGCTGCTACTGCTGACAGCACTGCTCACTCACAGTGGCAGACTCGTGATGCCCACGCTCGCTTCGCCATTCGCAACTCCCTGCCGATAGACGAACGCGAGCACTTTGGTCAGCACAAGACTGCACCGGCACTGTACACAGCTGTAGTTGCTCGCTACTCCTCACCTGCCTCTGCCGCACTAGGCCGTCTCTCCCTCCCCTACCTGTTTCCCGACCTGGCCTCCTTTCACACAGTCGCTGACCTCATCACGCACCTCCGTACTAGTGAGGCCCGCTTCCGTGCCGCCATGCCTGCTGAGTTCCTTGCCACGCACCCCCCTCCACTCTGGCTCACTCTCTATCACCTAGTCACCCGCCTCCCTGACACACTGCGTGCTGTCAGGGACCACTTCCTAGCTCGTTGCCCCACTGAGCTCACCATTGCCCTCCTCGAGAAGGAGCTACTTGCAGCTGAGGCTAGCATAGTCGCTGTAGGTGCCTCTCGTGGCGACCCCCGTACCCCGTTCTTTGAGGGGTGTTCTCCTTCCCCCCTTCTTCCCTCTGTCGCCTCTGCTGCTGCTGTCGACCTTCTTGGTACTGAGAAGGTCGGCACTGCGTCTGCCTCGAGCGGACGCCGCAGCGGCAAGGGCAAAGGGGGCAAGGGTAGTGGCGGTGACGGCGGGGGAGGCGGCGGTGGGGGCGGTGGAGGCAGTGGGGGTGGTGGCTCGGCTGGAGGGGCGAGTGGTAGCGGTGGGGGTGGTGGCGGCAGCGGCGGGGGAGGTGGCAGGAGTGGAGGCGGCGGTTGGGGTGGCGGTGGACGAGGCGGCGGCAGGGGTTGGGGTGGTCGAGGAGGTGGCAGCGGTGGTGGTGGCCGTGGAGGCGCTGGCGGTGGCCAGGGCCAGCAGCACACTCTCTCGCCCCAGGAGGTCCGTGAGTGGTACTCTCAGCACGGGGGTGGGGGTGGTCTTAGCTGCACGTACGTCATTCGCACTGGTGACCGCACTGGTCAGTAGTGTGGACGACCGCACGCCACACAGCGCTGCTTCTCTCGTCTCGACGACGCTTGGCGTGTTCAGTTCCCTCAGGCCACTGAGCTGCCCCGCTGGCTTGATCTCCTGAAGAAGGGGATTGATATCTATGCTCTAGACTTTGATGCTATTCTATCTGCCATGTATGTGATGTCTACTAGTGGAGAGGGTGCTGAGTACTTGTGTGTGCCGCCCGACCCGGGCATTAGGGCCAGTGCGTCTGCCGCTCCAGGTACTCACGTGTCGGCTACCCCAGGTGCTGGTGAGGCTGCTGCTCTAGGTGCTCGTGTGTCTCCCCCCCTTGGTACTGCGTCGACTGCCGCACTGCACACCTTCACACTGGACTCAGGTGCTTCTCGCTGCTTCTTTCGTGACCGCACTGCCCTTGAGCCGCTTGCTCGACCAGTTGCTGTCTCCCTTGCTGACCCCTCTGGGGGTCCGGTCACTGCGACCTCTTCCACTGTCCTTCCCTGCCCTGCGGTCCCGTCGGGCACACTGTCAGGTCTCCACCTCCCCTCGTTCTCTACGAACTTGGTGGCAGGCTGTACACTCCAGGACGGGGGTGTTCACCAGTTCACCCCTGCCTACGAGCGCGTGACACACTGCACGTGTGCTCGTACGGGCCGTCACTTGGCTACCTTCACTCGGCAGCCGGGGTCGGACCTGTACACACTGACTACTGAGTCCCCTCAGGTTGCTGCGACTGCGTCCGCGTCCGCGTCAGGTCAGCTGTCCGCCCCCTGCTCGTGTCGCTCTTTGGCACACGAGACTGTCCTCTGGCACCACCGCCTTGGCCACCCGTCTGTGCAGCGGCTTCGTGCCATGCACTCCAGGTACCTTGTCTCTGGCCTGCCCAGGGTCCTTCCTCCCCTCCCACTCTCGCCTGCTCCTACCTGTCTCCCCTGTGTCGAGGGACGGCAGCGCGCCGCTCCTCACTCCTCCTCGTTCCCCCCGACGACTGCTCCCTTGCAGACACTCCACATGGACGTGTGGGGCCCAGCCCGCGTCCGTGGTCAGGGTCAGGAGAGGTACTTCCTGATAGTTGTTGACGACTACTCGCGCTACACCTCGGTCTTCCCCTTGCGCACCAAGGGTGAGGTCCCTGATGTCTTGATCCCTTGGATCCGCAGAGCCCGTCTCCAGCTCAGCGAGCGTTTTCACTCGGACTTTCCTGTCCTGCGCTTGCACTCTGACAGAGGTGGTGAGTTCTCCTCCGACCTCTTGGCAGCCTACTGTGCTGAGCACGGCATTGAGCAGTCGTTCACGCTTCCGGCTTCTCCACAGCAGAATGGGGTTGCGGAGCGCCGCATTGGCCTGGTCATGGAGGTCGCCCGTACCTCCTTGATCCATGCGGCTGCCCCCCACTTTCTGTGGCCGTTTGCGGTCCGGTACGCTGCGCATCAGCTCAACCTCTGGCCCCGTGTCTCCTTGCCGGAGACCTCGCCCACGCTACTGTGGACGGGGGAGGTTGGCGATGCGTCGCGTTTCCGGGTCTGGGGGTCTCGAGCTTTTGTCCGCGATTCGTCTGCGGACAAGCTCTCCTCCCGTGCTGTTCCCTGCGTCTTCCTCGGCTTTGTCCCGGACGCGTCTGGTTGGCAGTTTTACCACGCCACCTCGCGCCGAGTCTTGCCCTCCCAGGACGTCACTTTTGACGAGTCCGTCCCCTACTACCGCCTCTTCCCCTACCGCACTGCCCCGCTCCCCCCCCCGCCTCTCTTCCTCTCGCCAGGTGCTGCTGTTGCAGACCCCCTCCCCCCTCAGGGTGCCGCTCCCTCAGGTGTGTCTCAGGTAGACCCGGTTGAGCCTGTTGAGGTAGCTGTCGACTCTCGTCCTGCTGGGGGTGCTGAGCCTGGGGGTGCTGAGCCTGGGGGTGTGGAGCCTGGGGGTGTGGAGCCTGGGGGTGTGGAGCCTGGGGGTGTGGAGCCTGGGGGTGTGGAGCCTGGGGGTGTGGAGCTTGAGGGTGCTGAGCTTGGGGGTGTGGAGCCTCGTGGTACTGAGCTGCGGAGTCCGGAGTCTGGGGGTTCTGCGTCTGGAGGTACGAGGTCTGGGAGTCCTGCACCTGGAGGAGCCCTCTCCTCGGAGCAGCTACGTGCGTGGTACTTAGAGTACTGCAGCCTCCGGAGAGGTACCGCTCGAGCCGGACGTACTACTGGGACTGGTGCTAGTACTTCTTCTCCCGTTCGGGAGCTCCCCTCCCGCGAGCGGATCCGTGAGTGGTACGAGCGGCGCTGCACTCTTCGGAGTGGCGTGCCTCGTGTTACGAACCCCGCTGCTGTTGGAGCTGCTGCTGGTGCTGAGGACCCGGGCGTTGGAGCTGCTGCTGGTGCTGAGGACCCGGGCGTTGGAGCTGCTGCTGGTGCTGAGGACCCGGGCGTTGGAGCTGCTGCTGGTGCTGAGGACCCGGGCGTTGGAGCCGCTGCTGGTGCTGAGGACCCGGGCGTTGGAGCTGCTGCTGGTGC